TGCAGCCACAGAGGCTAAGGAGCTGAAGGCTGGCAGGCAGTACACCGGCTGTTAACTCCAACGAATGGCGAATCCATGCCGAGTGGTGGATTGTTCACTCACAGACAGTTGTAGGCCAGCACAACAGAATCCCGATCCACAGAAGAATGTCTCTTTTCTCGGAATGTCCATAGATTTACTGGAAGCAGGCGACACCCGTAGGGAAACTCCCTTTCAACAGATTGCTTGCTCAAAACATAATCATCTGATCCCATCCTGGGAATAACCATGTCACAACAGCTTAAACCACACAGAATTGTGGTCCAGCCAAGTTGACACACAGCTCCAACTATCACAAGCAGGTATAGACAAAGTCTTTTATCGTAGTAGGGAGGCTTCTTGAAAGAATTGCTACACTTATTGTTCATTTTCTTAGCTTGGGAAAGTTACTCTTCTACTTTGAACTCCTGGCTCTGCTCCTTCCCTGTAGTCATTTATGGTTGGGTCACTGGAGGTCTTCATCACCAACTGTATATATTTGTTTATTGGACCTTGTTCCAGTAACTACAAGTGACTACTACTTCCTTTTATGATACATTTTTTTTTTTTTCCTGATTATAAAAGTTACACATGTTCACTGTGGGAAATTTTGGAAAAGGTACTTGTCTGGTGGTGTAGTGCCTAAGGCATTTGACTGCTAACCAGAATATTGGTGGTTCAAACCCACCAGCTACTCTGCAGAAGTTGGACTGGGCAGTCTACTTCTATAAATGTTTATGGCTTTGGAAATGTTTATGGCTTTGGAAACCCAAGGGGGGTTGCTATGAGTTGGAATTGACTCGATGGCAGTGAGTTTGGTTTTATTTTATTTATTTTTTTGGGGGAATATGTATTCAGGAAAACTTCTTTTCTAGTTGAAATGTTTCCATGACAACTGTTTTCTTCCTCTCTTCCTAGTCTCTTGGCCAGATATGTGTCAATTTGCCTGCTGGCTTGCTCTCTCTTTGTACCCATTCAAGCCCAACATTTCTTAAAACTAAACTGAACTGAAGGTTTGTTGTTGTTGTTGTTATTTGCCGTCGAGTCGGCCCCGACTCACAGCGACCCCTCCTTTGGTTTCCGAGGCAGTATCACTACGGAAGTAGGATTGCCCAACCTTCCTTCAGAGGAACTGAAGGTAACATCTCAAAACTAATGGCTTTAAACTGGAAAGTGACATAATTTCCTTTGTGTCTTGAGATCAGTGTGGTTGTAGTATTAGGTGTTTATGTAAGTGTGCATGCAAGTGTTTTTGTGGGAGTGGAATAGAGGAGTGGTATACCTCCTGTAGGAGCTCTGGTAGCATAGTGGCTAAGGCACATGACTGCTAACCAGAAGGCTGGCGGTTCAAACCCACCAGCCACTCCTCGGAAGGAAGGTTGGGCAATCCTACTTCCGTAGTGATACTGCCTCGGAAACCCAAGGAGGGGTCGCTATGAGTCGGGCGACTCGACGGCAAACAACAACAACAACATACCTCCTGTGGGAGGCTTTTGAAGCAACAATGTTGCAGAGATAAGATGGCAGCCTAAACTGGGTCAGTTGTGGTAGGAATGAAGAGGAGGGGCATTTTAGTGGTTTGTTGATTGGATGTGGGGCTCAAGGAGGAAGATTCTGTAATTCAGGTTTCTGCCTTGGTTGACTAGGTACTTGGTAGTGTCATTAACTGGTCATGTTGATTTTCAGTTTTTGGGTTTTTTTTTTTTTTGGCATCCAGGTGAGTATGTGGACCGGGCAATTAGATAGGAAGTTTGGGAGAGTTCTATACTGGAGATCTAAGGTTGGGGAGTCATCAGAACTCACTTGTACAGATTTATAGTTTAATAAGAGTTTTAGTCTAGAAAAAGAGCTATGAGGAACACCTGTGTTTAAAAGCCAGCAACAAAGAGACCCAGGAAGGTAGTGTCAGCAAAACGGATGAGTTGTATAGTTCAAGGGGGAAATTTGGCAATAAAAAGGTCATTGACTTTGTTGTGTTTTAAAAAGAGAATAAAAAGTAAGAAAATGGGTCAGATTTTATCCAGTCCTTAGAATAAAGCTCCTGTCCAGACTATCTGCTTGGCTTTTTGTTTGGCTGTTTCACTCCACTTGATATAGCCCAGGACCTCACAGCCCAAATCTAGAAAGAACCCCACTGACATTATTGTATTGGACCTAACACGTGACTGCTATAAACAAAAAAAATCTCACTGCTGTCGAGTTGATTCAACTCATAGCCACCTCTCTTTGCGTTTCTGAGGTGGTATCTCTATGGAAGTAGATTTGCCCAATCTTCCTTCAGAGGAGTAACTGGTGGGTTTGAACTACCAGCCTTCTGGTTAGCGGTCAGATGCCTTAGACACTGCATCACCAGAACTCCCATGACTGCTATAGTACCTTCCAAATTAAAGTTAAAAACAGATTCTAATTGCAATGAGATGCCCAATGCCATCAAGTTGGTCCCGACTCATAGCAACCCCTCCTTGGGTTTCTGAGGCATTATCTTTATGGAAATAGATTGCCCAGTCAGTCTTCCTTCTGAGGAGTGGCTGGTGGGTTGAACTGCCAGTCTTCTGGTTAGCAGTCAGATGCCTTATTAAGATAGCTGTAATAAAAACAAAGCAAAACAAAAAATAGAAAATATTAAGTGTTGACGAGAATGTGAAGAAATTAGAACCCTTGTGCATTGCTAGGAATAGGATTTAAAATGGGGCACCTTTGTGGAAAACAGTTTGGTGGTTCCTCTAAAAGTTAAATACAGAATTACAGTCTGACCTAGCATTTCTATTCCTATACCTAAAACAATTAAGAAATAGGTACTCAAACAAGTACGTGTTACATGCATGTTCATAGGAACATTATTCACAACAGCCAAAAAGTGGAAACAGAGCACATGCCCATCAACAAATAAATAGGTAAACAAACTGTAGGATCTGTACAATGGAATGCTATTCAGCCATAAAAATTGGAAAAAGAAAAAAAGTACTGATAGTGTGCTACAATCTGGATGAACCTTAAAAACATTATGCTGTTTATGTATTTCATTTATATGAAATACCCTGAACAGGTAAATCCAGAGACAGAAAGTAGTTTGGTGGTTGCCAGGGGCTGGGGCCATGAGGAGGAGGAATATGGAGAGTAATTGCTTGATGAGTACACTAGATAGAAGTGGTCGTGCACAGTATTGTGAATGTACTAAGTGCTACTGAATTATTCACTTTAAAATGCGTAATTTTATGTTACAGGAATTTCACCTCAATTTGAAATGTACCCCCGTCAAAGAAAAATAAAAAACACCCAACTAGATTCTGGGCCCAGTCCCAGAAATTCTGATTCCATTTAGGAATCTTAATTTTATAAAATGGCCTTTCTGAGATGCTAAGGAGCATTGATGTGTAGGCGTAATAAACCTGCATTTTATTTAATTGCAAGAGAGCAGAATTTTATTATAGCAAACTTTTAAAATACAGTTGTGCTGAAGAGATTGGCAACCATGGAAACCTGGCTGGAGTTCCCCAGCGTCTGTTTCGAGTGGGAGTGGGTGTGGGGTTTGGGGAAAGCGCCACCATCTGGTATAATTTGTTGGAGATTGAAAGTTTTAATTTGTGAAGTTTTGTAGCAAGTGCCCCTGGTGCCCTGCATCATATCCTTTTGTTGTACTGCTGATTTAAACCAGAACTCCAATTTCTACAAGTTTTTCATTCAGAGTCTTGCCAGTACTTTTCTATTTTTTGCCTTAGGATCTTCAAACTCTGGAAGAGGAGGACGAAGGCAACCTTCAGCCAGGTGCTTAAATGTTCTGCTTCTTTCAGGGGTCCTACGGAATTGCCTCTTCCCCTCCGGCAGTCACGTTGCTCATGTGTCCTTACTGGCTTTTCTCCTTCCGTGTCGCACCTCTCCCTCCTCTTGTTCCCTGGGATCATTTCCTATTTTTAATACTGCTTAAAACTTGTGTATTAGTATTGTGTCATTTAGACTGACTTCACAAGTTAAGAAATGCAGACAAAAGCAATCTGTAATTAACAGTAGTATCTTCTTCTTGTCCCTATCAATATTAGCGTGCTAAAATAACGTGTGAGGGAGGAAGGCGAAGAGAACATACTGTGCAGTGCAAAACAGCATCCATTGCTAAAGTTGAAATTAAATTTATTCACATCCACTCTAATGTGAACATTATGTGAGAATTTATTGAATTTTTCAGAAGAAAAAGTTATTACTTGTATGTACAACTCAGCAACTTCCATTTGTTTCATTTCACTTGGATAGGAGTTAAGGGGATATAAAAAAACAAAGAACAAAGTAGTTGGCATGGAGAGACAGCATTAGATGTGTCTCTTTGGTTCATTTATATGTCATTTTGTTCTTGAAGAGTTCTGGGTAGTTCTTTTTGTGAGACTAAGTTCTAGGATAGACTAGAATTCTGCTACAGTGCAGAACTGGGGACAATCTCTACAGAAGCTCAGGATACAACTTGCCAAAGATCAGAAGAGCACATAGATATCTGATCTATTTAAGGGACATCTTTGAAAAGACACTTGTGTCTTAAATGCAAAATTTCTCTTTACCTACCTAAAATATAGCCTTACTCCTTTTAGCTGAGATTAAACTCTAGAAAGTGTGTATTAAATTAAAAATTAAAATGGAAGGTAAGCTTGTTCTGGATGATCAGTTTCATTCTTGATGATTAAAATTGATAGCTGTGAAAGCACTTGCCATAGAGGCTGCTACATTGTAGGCACTCAGGAAGATGTGGAGTGAATGAGAAAGAATATGCTGATGGCCCCAGATTTGCGTCTCTTAGACTGTTGTCTTACCAGCAAGAATAGGGAAAACTCCCTGTGTTTAGTATTAGTAGACCTGTGGCTGCAGGGGTTTATTATTACCTGTAAGTTTATTTTGTAGGAAACCAGGTATCCTTCGGAAACATGCATTCTCTCAGTGCAGGGGTTCTGTGTAGCACTGGGCTGTTTTGGCATGGAAACTGACAAGTATCCCAACCCCTCATGTTAAGTTTTAGCTCAGACCAAAGCGAAAATGACTTGCCAAGGTAAAATCACCCCATCTAGCTAATTAATAATATGGCAGAAAATAGAACATAGGTCTCTGTTCTTATATAATCTTTTTCTTCAGTTTCTGAAATTGCTCCATCTCTACTCCTGGCCAAAGAACTAGTTAACAAAATCATTTTTAGAATCAGTAAGGATTATGAGTTTTATTTTTGATTGAAGATATTTCCAGAAATTTTGACAGTTAAAAATTTGTACAATGGGAGGAAATGTTCTTTGTTGGTCACCAGGGATGGGATGGGAGGGGAGGGGAGGAGAGGGAAAATGGCTAGATGCTATTGATCTGGGTGAAGGGTAGGGCGATATACCAAAAGTTAGTGACCAACAAAATAAGGAAAAGGAAAACGGAGGTGCATGAGAGGTACGGCCAACAAAGAAACACTTTTACATACACAATACTGCATTACAGTAATAACAAACATTAATTTGGGGTAGATATATAGGTAGACAGGCTGAATGATTACAAAAGGGAATATATACCAGTGACCATATATAAGGTTGGCAGATGCTATTTCTACATACATATTTGTATGTGCTACTTTGAATGTCCATATAAATAGAACTAACAGGAGGCAAAGTTCTGATAACTTCTTAGACATAGTCAGCCACCCAGATGGAGTGAGTTGTTGGACCTGTGGGCTCAGAACCATGGCCATGGGGGACATCAAGCTCAATTGGTACAACATACTACACAAAAACATTATTCTACATCCTGCTTTGGTGAGTAGCAGCAACCGGTGTCTTACAGACACTTGCAAGTGGACATCTAGATGCAATGGTTGGTCTCTCATCCAGAGCAAAGAAGAATGAAGAAAACCAAAGATGAATGGAAAAAGTTAGTACAAGGGACTAGTGGACCACGTGAACCTCAGCCTATGTATATGACCATGAGACCTAGAACAACTAGATGGTGCTTGGCTACCACTGTCAACCACTCAGAAGCTGGGGTGGGGGGACGGGGAGGTCTTGTATAGAGTGGGAGAACAATGTGGAACAAAACTCAAAATCATAAAATAGACCAGGTTAACTGGTCTGATAGACCCTGGTGAGACCCCTGAGACTATGGCCCCTAGTTACCCTTCAGGCCTGGAATTGAACTCACTCCTGTGGCTTCCAGCCAAACAATAGACAGGCATATAGGGTGAACATTTACACCAGGTAGATACACTCCTTAGAACGAGCAATCATGGGAGAAAAGAAAGGCAGTGTTTGGACAGGGAGATAGCTCATGGGGTTAGGAATGCATAGGAAAAGGATACAGGGAAGAGATAATTATGGAGAGAAAGTGGGAAGAGAGCTGTTACATTGTGGGGAATTGCAGTCAATGTCATGAAACAAAATGTGTATGAATTTTTTCTGTAAACTTTCACCCAAATCACTGTTTTTTTAAAAAAGAATTTATACAAATAAATTATTTAGAAAATCAATACTAATAGATAAACTTGGTAACATAGTGCCTAAGGCATTTGACTGCTAACCAGAAGGCTGGCAGTTCAAATCCTCTAGCCACTCCTTGGAAGGAAGGTTGGGCAATCTACTTCCGTAGTGATACCACCTTGGAGACCCAAGGAGGGGTCGCTATGAGTCGGACAGCACATAACAACAACAACAACAAATAGATAAAATACACAAGTGAAAACTTATAAGTATCTGGATATTCAACAATATAAAAATAGTTTAGAAAACTCTGTATAAGGGTTTCGATGAACTCTTGTAAAAGGCTAGTCATAATAACCTACCAGAAAATAGTGATAATTTGCTAGTGTGGGATTGTGGGAGAGTTCCTTTTATACTTTCCTTTCTTCTGTGTTATGCCCTTTACTTCATTACGCTGATGTTTTCAGTAGAGTTCAATTTCTTTCAAGGACTAATTTTATGTATTACCTTACCTTATCACTGACGTGGAATTGAGGCGGTATCTCTACGGAAGTAGATTGTCCAGTCTTCCTTCGGAGGAGTGTCTAGTGGGTTTGAACTGCCAGCCTTCTGATTAGCAGTGAAATGCCTAGGCACTATGCCACCAGAGCTCCTAATTTAGATTGTATAACTGATGCCAGGGTCTGCATTTAAACTCCGTCTAAATCAGTTTATTTGCTGGCCTATGCATCATAGAATGTGGTTATTTTGCTTTTATTATTCTTGATCTGTGCATTAAAAACTAGCTAAAATGAGAAGAATTGGTGAAGATTTCGGGAACTGATAGAAAATGTTTCTATTACTTGCTTAGAGACATCTTGGCTTAAACGAAAAACAAACTCTTTTTGGAAAACAATCAGTTTCTTAATCAAATCTGTGTTTCTTTTCTCTAGGACCTCTGTTACGCACCTAAAGCCATACTGGAAACCGCAGAAGAAAGAGCAACCTCTGGAGACGCCGAAAACACCCATGAGCCACCAAAGAGTTGTAAATGGTGAAACGTGCAGAACGAGCTACATGAAACCAAGTGTCTTTCCTTCAGCCTCTCTTGGTAAAGCGTTATCTCGAAAGCCTTTTGGGATCCTTTCTCCAAATGTTCTGTGCAGTATGAGTGGGAAGAGTCCTGTAGAGAGCAGCTTGAGTATTAAAACCAAAAAGAATGTACCGCCTGCAACAATCCACCAGGGTGAAGAAGGGGAAGGACCCCTCGATATCTGGACTGTTGTGAAACCGGGAAATACCAAGGAGAAAATTGCATTCTTTGCAGCCCACCAGTGTAGCACTCGGATAGGATCCATGAAAATAAAAAGCTCCTGGGATATAGATGGGAGAGCTACTAAAAGAAGGAAAAAATCAGGGGATCTTAAAAAAGCCAAGATACAGTTAGAAAGGATGAGGGAAGTCAACAGCAGGTGCTACCAGCCTGAGCCTTTTGCATGTGGTATTGAACACTGTTCTGTGCATTATGTGAGTGACAGTGGGGATGGAGTCTATGCAGGGAGGCCTCTGTCGGTCATACAGATGGTTGCCTTCTTGGAGCAGAGAGCCAGTGCTCTCATAGCCAGCTGTGCGAAAAACTGCACAAACTCACCTGCTGTTATGAGGTTTTCTGGGCATTCCAGAGGTTTGCCCCCAACCTTCTCTGCTCCAGGAGCCTGTGAAGAACCCACGGAAAGGGGAAATCCTGAGGTAGGTGAACCATCAAGTGAGCCAGTCCGTGTCCTTGACATGGTGGCCAGGCTGGAGTCAGAATGCCTGAGGCGACAGAGCCAACGTGAGCCTGGCGGCCTCTCAAGGAATAACAGCTTCCGTCGCAATGTGGGCCGGGTGTTGCTTGCAAATGGCACTTCAGCTGAAGAAGGCAAAACGAAGAAAGGAACCTTGGAGGCACCTGACACTCAGGTAGATCCTGTGGGATCTGTATCTGAGGACTGTGGCCTCTCAGGAGTTGACCAGTGTTCTCCTGAGGGGGACCGGGCCTGGGATGGCTCTCCTCGGGGCTGTCCCTCGCCAGCAGGTGTGAGTTTCCAGGTGGACAGTGCAGAATTAGAGCCAGATCAGCAAACTACCTTGCAAAACAGCAATAGGTATGATGTAGAAATGACTGAAGAACATGTTGAGTCTCCCTTTCCTCCTCACACTTGTCCCCAAGCCACTGAATTGCCTACAGATACTGTTGATTGTGTGAGTAGAGAGCTCGTGCCACTTACTAGCCAAAATCCTGATCAAAGAAGAAAAGAATCTTTGTGCATTAGTATCACTGTGTCCAAGGTAGAGAAAGACCAACCTTCTAGTTTAAACCCCTCTGGTGACCCACTTCCAGGGATGTTGTTTTTTTTGCCACCTGGTCGGCATGAGTCGGACTGTTCACAGTTGAGTGAAAGCACGAGAGAATCTTCAGAGGCCAGCCAGCTTGAAGGTGCTGCTGAGGTTCACAGTGTGTCTGAGGAAAAAAGTGTTTCAGCTGAGCCATTTGTCCTGCCGGCCTCTTCTGTGGAAAGCACATTACCAGTGCTTGAGGTGTCTAGTTGGAAGAAGCAGGTGTCTCATGACTTTCTGGAGACCAGGTTTAAGATCCAGCAGCTTTTGGAGCCTCAGCAGTACATGGCCTTTCTGCCCCACCATATTATGGTGAAAATCTTCAGGTTGCTTCCCACCAAGAGTTTAGTGGCTCTTAAATGTACTTGCTGCTATTTTAAGTTCATCATTGAATACTACAACATCAGGCCAGCAGATTCTCGCTGGGTACGAGACCCACGGTATAGAGAGGATCCTTGCAAGCAGTGCAAGAAAAAATACGTCAAGGGGGACGTGTCCCTGTGCCGGTGGCACCCGAAGCCCTATTGCCAGGCGTTACCCTATGGGCCAGGATACTGGATGTGTTGCCACCGGTCTCAGAAGGGCTTTCCTGGCTGTAAGCTAGGGCTTCATGACAATCACTGGGTCCCTGCCTGTCACAGCTTTAATCGAGCAATTCATAAGAAAGCAAAAGGGGCTGAAACTGAAGAAGAATATTAAAGTCTATGCAAGAGGCAGCAAAAGGACTGTGTTTTTAAACTGCAAACATACTGCCCAGGTACACCATTCAAGTGAGTGTTGCCTCGGAGCTGTAGGAGAATCTGTACTCACTCCACCAAGATTGCCATTGCTCAGGCATTTTTAAAACAAATTTACAGCTGTACAAGAAAATCAGTCCTGTTCTATAGTGGCGCCTCACTGGGTGGTATCCCTCAGTTTGATTCACTTAGCTGTGAATAACTATGCCTGTTTTCCTAAATCAAATCTATCCTCTAAGGACAAAGACTTGCCATCATTGCAGATATTCAGAAGAGTACACTGTATATCCTGCAGGCACTCCCCAGAAAGGCATTCCAGAAAGGTTTCATGCACTGGCACTGTATATGAAATACGCAAATTGTGTCCTATGGGAAGAATACCAGCACTCTTGGATGAAAAGTATGCTTAAAAAAGGGAAAGCTGGGTACCTTACCTTAGACCTTGTATGCTTGATCTGTGAGATGGATGTTTGTGGTGGGAAATGGATTTCATGCCCTGTGGTGTTTACAGTGTATATAATTGTTGTGTTTTCATAGGGCTATGAAACTGCACATTAAACTCGAGCGCCTTTACCTATAGATGAGTGCTTTTGGCCCCTCTGTAAATAACACTTAAAATTCAGTTGTATATACTGGACAGCTGACTGAACAGCATAATCACCACAATGCAGCTAGGATAGCGTTGCGGCTATAATCGTGTTTTTTTTTTTTTTTAATTGTCCTATCTCAGAAGTTGTACATCCTGTATAAAATATGAATGTTTCCCAAATAAACTATGAATGTTTCCTTCATAATATATGAATGTTTCTGAGAAGAAACTCTAAATAGTTAAGAAGTGAACCTATTCAAAGGATACCAAATAATGGTGTAACTGGACAACCTTAAAATTAGTATAGAGGACAATCCTTTGTTAAAGTTTAGTGATCCACCAAGAATGAGAGAGTATTTATATAGTCCAATTAAAACAGTCTTGGCTGTCCTTTCTGCCTGGTTCTTTTTTTTTTTTTTTTTTTAAACTTCAATAAAACATGCATCTTAAGTGGGACCTGAGTTTTGCAAAGATTTTTCCTCTCCTTTTTTTGTAGGATCTTTTGATCATCTAAGAGCATTTTTTTGTTTGCGTTGTTCGTGAAAGAGGGGAGATAAATTTTTTTTGGCCTGCCACCAAGAGGAGATCATCTTTATTTAACACTATATGCTTGAATTTTTGTGACCCTTTAACACTTCCTTGGTGTTTGTTGTCTGCCCAGCATCCGCTGTTTCCTGTTGTGTGAGGTATAACTTAGGATGCTTTTACAGCTCGCCTCAGAAGTCACCGAGGATCTCCGCAGGCCTCTGTGGTCATGGATCGTTTGTCAGTTAGGAGGAGGCACTGGGCCCCAGAAACTGCTAGGGAGGAGCTAAAAGCTAGCTAGCTTAAAATCAAGTTCCTACCAAAAAACCTTGTGATAGGTGCAAGCCCCAGGCTATAGGTAAATGTTTTAGGGGGAGGGCTGTAACAGACAACAAAGACAAACGTAAAGGTTGAGCAGCCTTAGGTATACCTAAGGTCTGCCATGCAGATTAGGACAGAAGCCAGGTCAAGCCAGGCTCACCTGCAGCTGAAGTGGGTGGGCATGGAGTGGCTTCCAAACCAGAACCTGCCTCCATCTCCTCTGCCCTTATCCTCAGGCAGCAACTGCTCCCTTGCTCAAAAAGGACTACTAAAGCGGGAAATAGTGTCTCTTGATACTGAATGAATCTGACCCTATCCCATTTGTACTTTTTGTACTGAGTTGGAGCCTACAGCATCATTGGATTTGTCCGTGAGGAGCTAGGAGAGGATGAGATCAGCTTGCTTTTCCTCTGAGATGCCAGTCAGTATCTTTCCTCCTAACTCACCCCAGCTGAGGTGTATTGGAAAAAGCTTTTAAACCCTGGCATCCCCTGGGCTCAGGTTCCCAATCCTGCTCCCCTTTGGTTTTCTCTAAAGTAGTCTCAGTGGTACCTTCCTAATAGGTTTGTTTTGATTCATAATTTATGAAGATGAAATGAGATAATGCACATAAAGTACTTAGAGTACAGCCTGGCGTTTCAAAACTGCCAATAAATGTTAGCTAGCATTGTACTAGCTCTGGGTTCCACATTTGCCCTGGGTGGAAATAGGGCAAGTAGATCTTAGTTGGTTTTCCTGAGTCAGCCATTCCTGATCTGGTTTCCACATAGGGCACACAGGTTTTCACATAGGGTGACTGCATGAGGGACTGAAGTGACCAAGAGTAGAGGGCACAGTAAGAATGCCCCAACCCACTTTGGCAAGCACTGATGACATGTTCTGAGCTTTGTGGCAGAAACCTCGCTGTCTATGTGAACCACAGAGGAGGATTTTAGCTGGAGAGAACAGGTGGCATCCCTTCCTGGTCATTTCTGGCTAAGTCTGGCTTTCCTCTTAGGAGAAAGATACTGTGCTTCGGGGCCCCCTGGTGCCAAGCTGGTGTAATCAACCCACTTAGTTTTCTACATCGCAGCTACCTGCCTTCCTGTACTGCTTTAAGATCATAGACTAAAAGAAAACAACAAAATGGGCACCAGGACCTTAGGATCCTCACTCAACATAAAGAACAAACCTGGCCCGTTAAAGCCTTTGCGGATCTGCTAGCCTAGTTTCTGTCGCCCCCCCCTTCAAAGCCTATACCTGTAAAGGAAACCAGAGTCAAAGAGCTGCTCCACATCTCTGGAGCAGTGTGTTCTCAGCCCAGTGGATGAGACCAGAGATCCAAGGAAATAGTAACTAGAAATAGAAAAAGTACAAAGGTAAGATGAATCTTTTGCTTGTTCAGCCCTTGTCAAAATGACTAGCCTTAGAATGGCCACGTCAGAGGACCTCCACAGGTGACAATACACACCTTGTGTAGGCATGTTGATTGCTACCTTCCTTGCAAAATGCAACCCTGTCCCCGGTCCCCCTTGTCTGGCTAAGTGCCCTTCAGCATGCCGTGCCTCTGTTTCTCACTGGCTGTGGCTCCACTCCCTGTGCTGTGTGGGGAGAGGGCGGCTCATTCATGTCATCCCCTCAGTGTCACTGCCTGTGCTCCAGAAAGGTTTTGCTTTACCTTCCAGTGACCATTTCAGTGTGCGGGGGGGTGGGCAGATTCTGACTGCTGTGGGCCATGCTTTAATTTTCATTCAGCAGGAGACACTCAAAGGCAGGGTAAAGGACTCTGTGTCACCTGGTCCCATGGGCACGTTCTTCCTTAGAGGAACTCCCCTGGCAGGCCTAGGAGGGTTTTACTGAGGAATGTTACTATGTATTTGGTATAATGTAGGCTTTATTATAGCCAGTAGCTCCTCTGGCGGCCACTCTGGTTTGGATATACTGCAGGACGGGGCTGGTATTTCACCAAGCCCTAGGAGTTCCCTGGCTGGGCTCTGCCCAAGTCAACCCCTGTAGCTTGGACTCGTCAGGGCCTCCCTCCCTCATCTTATAGACACACCCATAAGCTGCAACAATAATTGTTGTTGTTAGTTGTTGTTATGTGCCGTCGAGTCGGCCCCGACTCATAGCGACCCCTCCTTGGGTTTTCGAGGCAGTATCACTACGGAAGTAGGATTGCCCAACCTTCCTTCCGAGGAGTGGCTGGTGGGTTTGAACCGCCAGCCGTCTGGTTAGCAGGCAAGTGACTTAGCCACTATGCTACCAGAGCTCCTGCAACAATAATAGGTGACACCTATCTAGCTCTGACTGTAATCGGGTACCATGCCAAGTTTAAACACATTCTGTATCGAACACAGTGCCTACCATTCAGAATTTGATGGTTTCCTTATATGTCTTTCCTTTCCTTTCCTTTCAAATAAGCTAATGTTAAATTTCTGCAAATTGGTTGACAGTATCTGTGTGGGAAACATGTGCTCCCTTTTATTGCATGCATGCTGTTCCTAAGTTTGTGCCCATAGTTGGTGTTTGCACAATCTCATGGGAACAGCAAACAGTGTGGTGCACCCTAGGGTGACTTCCAGTGTGTTTATACCTACCTGTTTTAAGCAAACACAGGCAGCACCATCATTCGACGTGCTTTGTTTGATGTTAGCAGCATTTTTAGGGGACCAGAAGCCACTAGAGTTGGTAGCTTGGGAGGAGAGAAAACTGGAACGACGGCAGAGCTGGCGGTCTCTTACATAGCAACAGCCCTTGTGAGAGGTGACGTCCTCTGTCTGAAAGGCACAAGGAAACTTACTTTTTCCCCCAGAAGAGGTCACCATCCACTCTTACTTAGCAGAAACTGGGCCTTAGGCAAAATTAGTTTTGAAACTCTTTATCTCAGATTCTTTTTATAAATAAAGTGGCTCTTAAAGTCAAAAATTAGAAGGCTTTACTGAATGTTTTCAAGTGTTGAAACAGCAGGGATTAGTTTCTGAATTCAGCATACAGAGGTAAAAGGCATATGACTAAAATTACTCTTGGAAATTCTGTGTCCATCACTCTAAGAAAACCAAACCAAACTCACTGTCATGGAGTCGGATCCGACTCATAGCGACCCCTCTTTGGGTTTCTGAGGCTGTATCACTACAGGAGTAGATTACCCAACCTTCCTTCCAAGGAGTGGCTGGTGGGCTTGAACCGCCAGCCTTCTGGTTAGTGGTCAGGTGCCTTAAAACACTATAAAGGATGATGTATAATATGCACAGTGATGGCAGCATGGGAGAAGTCTTGTAAGATGCTCATGATAAGTGATGCACTGTGATGACTTGGAGAATAGCAGATTCCATCTTAGTTGTTTGGAGCAGAATCACCTGTGCTACTTATTTTCCTCCTTTCTGTCCCAAACGTCATATTTAATTGTATTTGTCCCTTATCCAGTGTGAGGTTGAGTGTCTGTTTGTGTAATTCATTGTTTGCAGATTTGCCAGTCTGGTGCAAAGGTCAGGATGGAACCAGGCCTGGCTCACCAGCTTTCCTGTCTTGCGACTGAGCTGCTGGCCTTC